GGGGCTGCAGCAGTGCCCGGTTCCTGCATGCACAGCTCGGAGCCGTGCAGGGCACGTTGGTGATGGAGCCCGGGGGGAACAAGGGCACAGGGATCCCTCTCACCATGGCACAGGTGTTCTGGGGGCTGTGCCCCAGTCCAGGCTCTGCTCGGCCCAAGGTACAGCAGCTTTAACATGAAGCCCTTATACACTGTAACAGCATTTCCACAGCGTTCTCGACTGCGTGGGACAGCTCTGGGATTCCAGGCTGTCTGCTGCTCCTCCATAGTTCTGTGAGCATGTTTGCTATTTTGGGAGTGCAAATCTCTCAGTAACTTCCTGGCCCCTGGCACTAGATGGAGCTTCAATCTACTTGCACTTGGAAGTCGTTAAGTTTAACCACAAGTTAAAAATAGGGAAGAATAAATGAAGATATGCATGCCTGCTGCTACACTTACAGTGCCTCTTTCCCTGTTTGTTAGCAGAGTGGTGCAAATTATTATGTAAATTTAATTTAAGTGAAAATTAAAATATTGCAGGAGGATCTCCTTGATCTAGTACATGCTTTATAATCACTAGCACCCTTTAATGTACTCTCAGGCCCATGGCAGAAATTGCTGTAACTTAGATATGCTGGGAATGTGCTGCATATTAAAGCTAATGCCTGGGCTGTGCAGAATAGGGGTAATGCCGTTTCTGAACAAAGTACCTGGTTATATTTCAGGATGCAGTGTGGGTGACCACCACTTCTGTGGTGTGCTCTTGCTGTGCTCTTGCAAGAATTCATTTGCATTTTCCCTTTGTGCTACCAAAGCCAACAATTCAGAATCATCTGTTGTCAGTCACTTCATTTTCCCTCCGTGTGTTACCCTTAGAAATATTGAACAAATGGAAAGAAATCAGAAAAAAAGTTTTGAAAATGTAGTGTTTGATACTTTTCATTTAGCAAGCACCGTATCTCGCAGGCCACATGCACATATCAGAAATTTAAGACCATCTCCGCCTTCCACAGAAGTAACTGGAAGTAGATTTAGTTTTATTCTTGTGTGCCCATGTTTCTTCTTGCCTACAGCCCACGAATGCAGCCTCCCACTGCTGCCCAGGCTGGCCCTACTGGGTGCTGGCATCCCAGTGCCATGGTGACCCACAGACACACAGGTAACCCGCTGGCACGGCTCACGTGCTCTGGGCACACGAGCTGGGAACTGCTTTTCTTCACACGCTGCATCAGTGTACGAAGGGAAGGCTCGGTGTTAATCCCCCTGGGAGCTGCCACAGGAGCTGCCTGGTGGGACTGTGGCACCGCAATTAGAAACAGGTAATTAGTGAGGGAGCACAGTGGCTCTGCTCTGGCACCCTGGGAGCACATGTTCCCTTGGGAAGGGAGCAGAGCTGAGCCTGGGCACGAGCTGTGGTTTGGGTGGAGGCAGGAGCTGCAGGACTGGCTGTGTACACTGCTGGTTCCTGTTCCTGGCCCAAGCAGAGCACGGGTTAGTGACCAAGGCAGGAGTCCCAGGAGATGCCCTGTGGGAGAGGGACAGGGCCCTGTGTGTGCTGTGTCCTGCTGCCACTGTCCTTCCCCTCCTCTCGGAGAGGCTCCATTGTGCTCCTGCCCAACAAACACACAGGATGGAGCCGTGGCAGCAGCAGTGAGGTGCCACAGCAGTGCCTCAGAGCAGCACAGCTCTCCTCAGAAAGAGGGAAGCATCCAAAGGCAGGGACAGCCACGGCTCCGTGAACAGCAAACCGAGTGACCTAATTCAGCTCTGGGGGCGGCCTCAGCTCCATGGCGGCCGTGCCCGAGCTGACTCATCACTTCCAGCCTGGCAGAGATTGGAGCTTTCAGGCCCTAAGGATTTTGCTCCTTCCTTATTAATTTTAAATTGATTAAAGCGAATTTTCAAAATACCAGGAGACACTTGCTGAAAGGAATGGTTATTAAAAAAAAAGAAGGAAATAGTTGGTCTGTGGGAGTTAACTCTGTGCTTAATGACCTCTGGCTCCTGCAGCTGTAAACACCCATTGCAGCTTGGAGGAGTCTTGTGTCAGCTGTTCTGTCATGGCAGATCAGCAAGGACTGGATTAATCCATCTTTATTGTAAAAAAGTGAGAATTATAAACGTCCTTGCTTATACCCAGCACACCCCCCTGGTGTCCTCATCCACGGCAGGGTGGTATTGCAGGCTGCTGCTCTCAGCTACATGACTTTGTCCAGAAGCTGAGATCTCCCAGAGAAGTGCATCCCTGCAGGAGCATCCTGTTCTTTCCAGCATTGCTCAGTGCCTGACAAAGCTCCTCATGTGGTCCCCAGCCCCCCTGGGGTGGCCTGTGGGCTGTCTGTGCTAGAAGGGGCTGCCAGTCCCTGCCTGGCTTCCCGCAGAGGCTGCCATGGCCAGCATGGGCAGGACAGATGGATGGAGGATCCTTTCCCTCACTGTCAGAGGGCAGTTCAGATGAGCTTCTCCCCTGGGCCATTCTCACCTGCTGTGGCTGCCCCAGCTCTGCCAGGGGGAACTCCCTTACACTTGGAGCAGGAGGATTTCTGTCCTGAGTGGTTTGTGGTGTGATTACACAACTCAGGCTCATGCAGATAGCTGAGGCTCTTCCCTTCTGCCTGCCCTCTTTCCCACTGGTGGGAGGTGGATGCAGCCCAGCAGCCCAGGAGTGCCCATGGACCCACCTAAGGACCCTTCTGTGCTGTGGTGGGCTACAGAGATATAGGAACCCCCTTCCTGCAGGCTGCAGAAGCGAGGTCAGAGCTCTCTCCCCATGGGTGTTTCTCCCTGAGAGCTCATCCTGGGGCTACCCCCTGTCAGCATCCCACCTGCTGCTCTGGAGGGGCCGGGGCTGTGCCTGCAGGGTGCACAGGGTCTGGTTCACTGGCAGGGATGGTGCTCCGTTACTGTGAACGTCAGGGCCAGCTCAGGCAGCATAAACAGTAGATTAATTGATAAAGCTTTTTGTCCTGCAAGCAAACACCAACAAATTAAAAATTAAAAAAAAAAAAAAAAAAGGAAGGTGGAAAACTCTGTGGTACTTCAGAGAAGACAGAGCAGGAATCCAAGAGGAGTGAAGGAGCAGAATATGGAATTCACCTGGAGATAATGAAGCAGCAGAAGTTGTCAGCCCCTTTTATGTCTGTCTAAAAAAAGAGGCCTTTTATTTCAGTGAAACCGAAGAATGAAAATTAAAAAGCTAAACAAAGCAGAAAATTTCTGCAAAAATAATTTGACACTTGCTATTGATTGAAGGAATGGAGCAGCAGAGTTTAACAAGTTGCATAAAAGCACCTTTGGTCTGCTTTAAAAATCTCTCTAAAAGAAACAGTTATATCACTCATATGCTGTTCACCTGTCTCTTCTCATCTCTAGATCTCAAAAGCAGAACTGCTCTAACTCCACGTGCCAAAGCAGAACCTCCTTCTGCTGCCTCTGCCTTGCCCTCAGCATCCAGCCTTGCCCATGGTGCAGTACAGCAGATATTGCTGTGAGAGCCTGGCTGGTGAGACAGAGTTCCTTCCTGCTCACTCCTGGAGCATCAGCTGTGTCAGCTGGGGGGGCTGGAGGAGCCCAACTCTTTCCCCATCCTCTGAGACCAGGTAGGATGAGTTCCTCCTGAGGACTGATGTCCCAGTGTCAGCAGCAGCCTGGCCTGGGTTGTCCCCAGTGCTGTGACATGTTCTCTGTGGCTTCACCTGGGTACCTGGGGAGGGTGACAAAGGAGCGGTTTATGTTGTGTGGTGTTTGTATTGATGTTCTTTCATAGTGTGCTGGTTTTAACATGTTTCAACTTTTTTCCAACCAAGGTTCTTTCCAAATTAGTGAATGATATGAACAAATCCTTTCTGTGCTCAGACAGGCTCAGATATAGTGTTTTACTCAACTTAGAAAATTATGAAGTTGGGTAGGAACAGTGGGTTACAGAATGTTCTTGCTTCATTCATTTTGTCAGCTGCAGTTTTAGTTTTAATTATTTATAACACTTCATAATGTACTAGTTCATTTACAGTAGCATATTTCGGTAGAGTAATGAAATTAGTGACATTAGAGTTACTGCAACACTTGCTGTTTACCCATTGCTGAGTAATATTCACATTAATTATGCACATATTAGAATGGCTTTAAAATATATATAGCCTCAGCTGGAGGGTTTAAGGTGTTTTAGACATGCTTATTCTTCATGTAGTTAAAAATAGTGTCCTCTAAGACCTGATCCTAAAGTAGTACATGAAATCAGTGCCTATTCATGGAAGGCAGGTTCTGGCAATGTGAAATCCTTTCAGTCTCTGTAGGACCAGGCCTCAGCCAGCAGACATTAAAGAGCGTGTTTCAGTGTTTTAAGGGCAATATTCTTGTATAAGGTTATTTTATTCCTATTTCTTTTTAGATAAAAGCACCCAACAAGCCTGCTTGCTTGGTCCTGTATGAGCTGCTGCAGAATCTGTTTAAGCTCTGCTGCTGTTGATGAGAACATGGGTGTAGGGGTTGGAGAAGTTCTGGCCTTGTGTGCATAAAACACGACCCTGACAAAACAAAATGCTGTCATATTCACAAGGCAAACAGACTTGAAAACAGAGAAAATATTTTTCACGTTTTTTTAAATTTTATCACTCAGCTGTGCTATTTCTAGTACTAGCAGACATAACATTTTGCAGAAAGAAATGTGACATCTATTCAGCTGGCAGCATTAGGTTTCCCTATACTGATACCATGTCTTGCCAACAATGCTGTCCTGTGGTGGGAATTGTGTGCAGTTACCTACAAGACAACTGGCTGTCTTCATTATGCATTTTCATCTTTTTGAGCTGGAGATAAGACATGCCCAGCTATGCCAAGAATTAAAACAACCCAACAAGTCCATTCTTGTTGGGTGAAAGTGCTGCTCATGTTCTCAGAGCAAAGCAATTATGTTCTCTCTATTGTCACAGGTTCTGCTATTTAGTGGTAATAGCTGTTAAGCATCAAAAAACCCACAACAAACAAAGCAAAGCAAACCAAACCCAACTGAGGATGGTCTGCCTGGCAAGTGACCTACCCAACTCCCTGTTTTGCTTCTTTTAGCCCCAGGCTAAGGGTGCTGCTTCTGAAACAAGTGATGCATGCCCTCCAGCTCTACCTGCAGCCAAACTGAGGGTTTGGTTTTCCTGCTCACCCATAACCCATGCCTCCTTCCATCCCTGTGCTGCTGCATCACAGCCAGAGCTGTCTGGAGGAACAGACTCCAAGGGCTTCTGCCCTCAAATTCAGCCCCTTACGCCTCCAAACCCAGTGCCCACTGTGGGCATGGCCCTTCCCCAGAAACACTTGAGAGAGACACAATATGCTTTTGTGCAAGTCTCCAAGAATCCATGTCCAGGGCAACCTTTGGCCCATGGTGTTTAATGACAACCAGCTTGTAAATAATTTTGCTTCTAAACAGAAAGGTTTGGGGAAATCAAAAATTCTCTTGTTAAGGAGAAATCTGCAACACTTATTTGAGCAAACCATTCAGCATGAACTTAGGCAGGACTTGGTTAATCCATGTTGGGAGATGCAGAGTCCTTCAGTGGCAGTTGGTTTCTCACATTTCTTTGAGAATGTGTATGTGTATTGCAGAAAGGCAGAAAGCCACTGAAAGAATTATTCTCTTCTTTTGTTTGCTTCTAATTTGCTCGTAAGGAAATTGAAAGTAAGGAAATCTCATCAGGAACAACACCCACGTGCAGGTACCAAGCCCCTGCTGTACCTGAATTCAATTGATGCAAAGAAGCTGAATTTAAAATATGCTACAGAACAAAGCAAGGCCAGCTGGAGGATTTCCTGCAGGAGAAAGGAAAAGCCTGGGGAGGCAGTGGGCCGGAATGCTGAGCTGTGACACATTCCTGCTGGCTGTAAGTAGTGTATCTGGGAGGAGGGGAATGGGAATGTCTTGATTTGGTCATTTGGACTAGTGAACTCTTCTAGGTAATGCTTTTTTTAATCTAGCATTCAAAATGTTGGGGTTTTTTAAATTTCTTTACGTATGTTAAAAATATCTGTGTGTGTGTATATACATATATGGGGTGAGATTGAGTAAGTATTCATTATAAGAGGCTTCAGAAATACGGTGTGTCTGTCTCTGAGCCCAGAGAAGCACTAGAAGATACAGAAGACCATGTCTGGGTGGCTCTGAGCCAGGTGCCTCCAGGCTGTTTGACTTGAGGAAGGCTTTGGTTGGTCATGCTGGTGCCCTCGGGCTCTCCCCGCTGTGCTGGGAGCGAGGCCGGGGCTGTGGCTGGGAGGAAGAGGGGCTTGGGGAAACCAGCCTGAACATCCCAGTAAATGGGCTTGGGGAAACCAGCCTGAACATCCCAGAGAAGGGGCTTGGGGAAACCAGCCTGAACATCCCAGTGAAGGGGCTCGGGGAAACCACCCTGAACATCCCAGTAAATGGGCTTGGGGAAACCACCCTGAACATCCCAGTGAAGGGGCTTGGGGAAACCAGCCTGAACATCCCAGTGAAGGGGCTGGAGGAGCCAAAGGCGGCTGCAGAGGCTCTGGGCAGGAGCTCTGGCAGATACGTGTGTGGCACCATGCTGACACTTCCCCTTTTATCCAGGCCTTGCCTCATCCCCTGTGCCAGCACTGGAGCCTGGGGGTGCCTCAGTGTCCCAGGGAGCCAGACCCTCGGGATCTGCCCCCTGCAACTCCTGTGCTCTGTCACCAAGGGCTCTCCTGCAGCGCTGACACTGGCAGTGGCACTCACAGCTTCACCAAACACCTTGTTGGTTTGACTGCTTCACAGACTTTTGAAGTTGCTAGTATTTCCTTTACCAGGCACTAATAAAAAAAAAGCCTATTTGAGTCAAGTAAAAATGCATTTAATTCAGTACTTCTCTTGCAGTCTCAATCTCATCATAACTCTAATTTTAACGTAGGCTGAGTCATTTTCATCCTACTGCTTTAAAATCAGGCTGTGGAGCATGGTCTTGTTATGCTATGTTTGGGAAGTAGAATGAATGCTTTTTCTCTCTCTTAGTCAGATCTATGCTGCCAAGCTTTTATCATTTGGTGCTCTTGGATATAAAAATAACGTAGCCAGGGATGATTTGCAGAGTTAGTTTTATTACTGTAAGCAAAATTGAAACATAAAGGATGCCAGTATACATTATGCAGATTGATTTATAAAAATAAATTAAATGGAAAGTATTAGTCCAATGGAAATAATTAACCTTGTTCTGACATAATTCCTTGGGGCAGAGCTTGCATTGTGTGTGCAGTACAGTTGTTCTGCAGTACTTGCTCTCTGGGTTTTGTTTCTCCATGGCTTGCTGGTTCCTCATCTGCCAAACCCTCTGCTGAGGCTGCAGTGGTTAATATTTTTCTAAATAAAGCACTGTCTTGTCCCCTGTTCTTGAAACTACCTGATTTGTTTTTCACAAATCTAAATACTTCCATTTGAGACAGACTCTTGGCATGGCAAATGCAGGTGGAACAGTTGTGGCCTGGCAGTGCTATAAACCCCAGAGACAGCTGTGAGACGAAGCCCTGGCAGCAGGTAGGGCTGTTCCAAACACTGTATCTACCCCTGTACCCATGGAGAGAGAGCAGAAATACAAGGGGAACACCACGGTATGTTTGTGATTTTAGCAGGTGGGAAATATTGCACCCCTGGGTCCAGCAGGAGCATGAGAAAACTGCTGAAAGTGGCATAAATCCGAGACTGAACAAGCTTGATCTGTTTATATACAAGATCTAGTTGTGAATCTGAGTTGATCCAATTTTGCTTCTTCATATGAATTTGAATTGTAAAACAGTGGCTGATTTTTATTATTTTTACTTTGAGTTAATTTGGATCTGCATCTTGGCAACAACCTGGGTCTTTGGACAGTGTGGTCTGTAACAGAAGTGAGTAAGAATGCATTACACCAGCTGATGGAGAGTTATTTCACCTCTTAGTATGGAGAAAGTCCCAGTGCTGGCACTGGAGTCATCCTGCCCTGCCACTGGGCTGTGCTGACAGAGGGAGGAAGTTGCAAGCAGTGAGAACAGTGTTTCTAAAAAGATGCATTGTTCTTCTGAGCTTCTACAAAGCTGTTTCAGTCCTGCAGGTGCAAAAAAAGTTGGAGCACGAAGGTTTGGGTTGTGGGGGACCAGGAGATTGGAGGGAGGGGGTAGGTGTCTTTTAAATCAGTGAAATACGGTGCAAAGTCAGGTCCCCTCTGAAGCAGGATTGGTAATACCTCAGCTGTTCTGATGGCTCTTCACCCTCTTTCTTCTTTAAATCAGCTCCTGATGTCATTCCATGATCTGCTCCAGCACTACCTGTAGAAACTCAGCCTACATCTTCATTCCCCAAAAGTAGCCTGTTACTCCTTGATCTGTACTGGGAAGAAGATTGGATTGCTGCCTGCAAAGGGATCTGTTATGCCCACTCAACTTTCTCCTTCTAGACTAAACAAATCCCATTCTCCCTGTTTCTCACAGAACTGAAGGACAACTGAGGCTGGGAGTTCAAGAAATCCTTTAGTCCAGCTCTTCCTGTCAAAGCATGCTCCCAGTTCCCCCAGCCTCTCCCTGGATGTCAAGTGCTTCTATCCTTTCATCATCCTCGTGCCTCTTCATTAGACTCTCCAGCATGTCCAAGTCTCTCTGGTATTAAGTGATGTTTAATACTGGCAAATCTTGAGATTACACCAGTCCCTGTCTGGCTCCCCAGCAGAGCACTGTAGACAAATGCTGTCCCTTCCCAGTTTCTGCAGGGTGTTTTTCTGTTAGTGAAATGTTCTGTAAGTCACTTCAATCTCTGCATTAACTCTTATGTAAGCTTTTCCCTGGCTGGCAACAGTGAAATGAGATGCCATGAACTGCAACTGAAGAATGAAAAATAGGACTTTTTCTCTCCCTGGTACCAGCAGTTTGGTCACTTCAATCTCCCTTCATGAATATGAACTTTAAAAAGTAGAATTACAGATTTCAGAGGTAGAAGATTAAAAGATTTAGGAAATCCTAGGAAAAAAATCTCCTGCTTCTGGCTGAATAGGTTGGAATCCATGTGTAGATAGAGAACTAACAGCCAAGGTTACTGTGGGATTGCAGGAACCACAGCATGTGCTTGTCAAGGAGCCTGCTCTAAATGGGAGAGCAAAACTAAAACTGGGTTTGTGTGTGGTGGCAAGAATTGGGTTGTGTGAGCCAGAAGCATTTGAGCCCTTGTCTCAGCCTCTCCTTTGCTCGTTGATCTTCGCCAGAAGTCTTCACCCCAAGGTTAAGTCTTCTGGTGGAGTGTTTGGCAGAGGGGTGAGCTGCCTTGCACCCAGTGCCAAGGACAGCACTGCAGAGATTTTCTGTGCTGTAGGGTCATGCTGTAGCCCCAAAACCTATTCCAGGTCCCTGGTATGTCCCTGCTCTCTGCCAGGAGCAGGATCCTGTCAGCCCAGTGGCACAAGTTTTTTTTGGTACATTAGGTTTTGTGTAATCTGTGCAGCTTTGGGGCTTTATAAACAGTTTTTTTGGCAATGAAGAGAGATTGCGGTGATGGAACCGGTGTAATATGTGACTGTGAGGCACACAAAGCCCTCTGGAGAAGCAGGAGAGGACTTCAGTCTGGGTGAGGTACAGAATCACCCTGAGTTTATCGAAATGGTGTTAATCGTGCTAATTGATTTGTGGGAGAAGGTGTCCAATAACAGGGTGTTTGGTGACTGATCAAGGGGTGAGATGAAGATCTGCAGCTGTTTGGGGGCAGAGTGGGGAGACAGTCATTGACATGTGCTCCCATGGGATTAATGTGGCAAACAGAGAGCAAACACTAGTAATGATTGGTATTCAAAAGCAGCTAATCTAGTCACTTGGAAAGTGCCAGTTTGTGTCCTTGCCTTCAGACGGGGTTTATTTTCCTATCTGTAAAATGAGAATGACAGTCCCTGCTCAGCAGCCTTGCTGTGCCATGTGTTAGCAGTCATGGCTGCTGTCACTGTCTGGAGTGACTTGTCACCGTTCCTTTCCTTGGAATAGCAGTATTTCTGCTCAGCAAAGGCACAGCTAACCTAGAAGTAAAGGAGTGAAATCAGCAAGTGTGAGATTGTGCGGTGCACAGAAAGAGGAGGCAGCCTGTTCCAATAAAGCATGCGGTGGCATGTTGAGGTGGAGCTGTGAAACCAGGCTGCAGGATGCAATCTAGGATCTGCCTGAGCTTTGTATGTGATAATCGGACAGTGACTGTGTTCTCTGCTGCCATGGCTGGCAGTATTTTGGAAAAGGGCTTTGTTACAAACATGCATAACTGATAACAAAGGGTTCGTGAATGTAAATAAAAAACAACCAAGCCCCCACGGCAGAACACAGCAGATGATGACTCTGGTTTCTCTTCTGTGGAAACTCTCATTTATTGCAGTGGAGGCTGAGGCCTACATTCCAGGCAGAGCAGTCTCACAGACCCATAGAATCGTTTATGTAGGAAAAGACCTCTGAGATGAAATAGGCAGTTTCCAGGTCTGGTCTGCGGTGTGTTTTGATCCTGAAGCGTGGATGTGGGGCTAAGCTGTGAGGAATGAAATGCTGTGGCAGCACTGACGGCTCCCTGAGGCCACCCCGAGCTGGATCTTGGCTTTGGGCAGCAGCAGCCGAAGCGATCCTGTGCGCCTGGACAGGAGCTGGGAGTGAGTGGTGCCTGCTGTGCGATTGGGATGGCTCAGGCTCGGCCCCCGTAACAAACTGTGCTCCTCAGTCACCAAGGAGCCCTCGGCCGCAGGGACCCGCCCGGCACTGCAGGGCCCAGGAGGGGGTTCAGGGCCCAGGAGCAGGTTCAGGGCCCAGGAGCGGGTTCAGGGCCCAGGAGCGGGTTCAGGG